GGGCTTCACACTGAGGTCTACGGCGGGACGAGCGAACGCTTTAACCACTAGGCTACCCAACAGCTCTGACCAATGCAATAAGTATAGGATAGGCCTTATCGACGTGGGTCTGTTATCAATACTGTTATCAATTAATCAACATTGAAACAGATGATTTTGACATCAGACGGCGTTGCTGTAGTTTACAAAGCAGAGTTGTGGCCCTTTAGAACACCAGTAACCTACGATCGTGCTCGTCAATGGCGACTACACACGGTGCAGAACTGATTGAAATGAATAAATGTTAATGGACCCAATATAGCTGTTTTCTGGATCGAATGTAAAGAAAGGTGATACACACGCTGACAGTCGCGTGTTTTGGAAATTCGGAAGTTCGTGGTGCAAATTCTGAGCAGTGATTTTGGCGCGGGATCACAAAGTCACGATAATTAGACCTTCCAAGGAATCTGGCTCCCAAAGTATGCCTATTTTATATATATCCATGTAAAACGGTACATGCATATATTATACATGTCTCATTCTGTATCTTACTCCTTGAGATGCATGTACCGTTTTACATGGATATTTACAGTTGGCAATGGTGAATTCGCCACGAAATAGACTTCTGTTGACCTTTCCTTGAATAAATGGCCTATGACCCTGGCAGTGACAATATATACCTAGACCCTGGCCTCTGCCGGTAACGGTCACGATATCGCTGAAATATTGCCGATGTGACTTCAAATCTTAACTCACTCACTCACTGCCGTTTACGACTAACTTTACAAGTTAGCAGTCAGTAGGTTTGTTGTTTAACGCCGCACTCAGCAATATTCCAGCTATGTGACGGCTGTCTGTAAATAATCGAGCTTGGACCAGACAATCAAGTGATCAACAGCATGAGCATCGATCTCGACAATTGGGATATAATTACATGTGTCAACCAAGTCAACAATCTGACCACCCGATCGGTTACTGACGACCAATTCTAACCCGGATCATCGCGGGTCTAACAAGCTATATGCTGAACAAGGGAGCTAAGTCAGGGTAATGGCGCCACAGCTTCTTTATTACATATGCCGTCTCGGAATACATTTATGTAGTATACATGGTCTTTTTAGCTCAATACAATAATTTGCATATCTTAACAATTCTACTTGAAATTTTAAAAACCAAAAAAAACTACCCTAGAAGGCTTTCGAAGGAATGCATGATATTTTTCAAAAGGAAATACGCCCCTCCACGAGAACATGATAAGGTTTTCCCCGAGAGAGCGCGAGAGTGAACATACTATTACGCCGTTGTGACCAAAACGACCACAATTATAGGCCCTCGCCCCTAATCGGAATAGGGCGGTGGGTAGGGTAGTGATTAAAGCTTTGGCTCGTCACGCCAATGGCCCGGGTTCGATTCCCCACATGGGAACAATATGTGAAGCCCATTTCTGGTGTCCCCCGCAGTGATATTGCTGGAATATTGCTAAAAGCGGCGTAAAACAAAAAACTCACTCACTCACGTAAACGGAATATTGAAGGAGGCATCTTTTCCGGGACTGAAGATACAGTTTCCTCATTTTACCGAACTTCCTTGGATATATTTGCTTCAGGTTTTGTATGGCAGACTAAAGAACTGTCAACAACCTGCCGTTTATGTAAATATTTACGGTATTGCCCGCCTCGCATTGGTGTCTTACAGGAAATTATGTCGAGGGCTTCCAATATTCCCTTGTTTTGATTTCCAATGCTTCTGTGTCTGCGAGCGTGCCTACATGTAATGTAAACTACTGGTATGTCAAACGCCGTACACTTCTCAACCCAATCAGCTAATGGACACTGTTATTAGAAAACCTAATTTAACTAATAAATGACTGTAATCTCGGGGTTCTCCAACCAAACGGGCAAGAAACCCCTTACAACTTCAAGCATTCCGAGCCATGAGTTTCTCATGTGCAATCACTGATAGCCTCTTCGGTAATAAAATCCCTGGAGTTCATTAAAGGGGCATAACTCTTGACATGTTGTTGAGTTTCTCGTTGTTAATTTAAATCACATGATGTGACTTCGCTAAGGCCGTGTGGTATTGTGGAATCTTTAGATACTGTCCTGGTTGTTATGAATCTATTATAGACTGTACACAGCATAAGGTATTCTCACCTCAGCCATTAAATTGGTGTAAGGTATGTGGTACTATAGATACTTTAATTAGAGCTAGGTAGGCAGGACCCATCTATGTGTCTCTCTGCTGTTGTTTCCCTCCACACTCAATATTCCAGTTATATAACGGCGTTCTGTACTTATTCGAGTCTTGATCAGACAATCCACTGATTAACACCGTGAGCATCAATCTACACATTTAGGACACGATGACATTTGTCAACCAAATCAACGACCACCCAATTCCCGTTATTCGCCTTTTACGACAATATGGTTTACGGAAGGTCCTATAATGCTAGATAACATGATAAACCGTGTGGATTTACTTGTGAGTTGGGAAGATCTTAATTCGTGATGTAAGTTGTGTATATACCCTGTATTGAGTACTTTGAATAATAAGCGTTTATACCACTTCGGACGGGCGTGGACTGAAACTCTTGTACACTATTTTTGGGTGGAGTCCAATCAGTCAGGGAAATCATCTTATCGCCAGTCCGGACTGACGCCAGTCACCCTAAATTTCTACTTTGCTAAAAACATATGCCATCTCAAATTGTACATGTGTTACAGTTTACTACCTTCTAAAAAACATTACTTAAGGTCAGTTCGAACCAGAATCACAACTGATGACAAGCATGGGTTGTTGAAAACCACTTTTAACCAGCATCTTCATTGGGGACACGCATGGGTTACTGAAGACCAGTTCTAACCCGCATCTTCATTGGGGACAAGCATGTGTTACTGAAGACCAGTTCTAACCCGTATCTTCATTGGGGACAAGCATGGGTTACTGAAGACCAGTTCTAACCCGCATCTTCATTGGGGACACGCATGGGTTACTGAAGACCAGTTCTAACCCGCATCTTCATTGGGGACACGCATGGGTTACTGAAGACCAGTTCTAACCCGTATCTTCATTGGGGACAAGCATGGGTTACTGAAGACCAGTTCTAACCCGTATCTTCATTGGGGACACGCATGGGTTACTGAAGACCAGTTTTAACCAGCATCTTCATTGGGGACACGCATGGGTTACTGAAGACCAGTTCTAACCCGTATCTTCATTGGGGACAAGCATGGGTTACTGAAGACCAGTTCTAACCCGTATCTTCATTGGGGACACGCATGGGTTACTGAAGACCAGTTCTAACCAGCATCTTCATTGGGGACACGCATGGGTTACTGAAGACCAGTTCTAACCCGTATCTTCATTGGGGACAAGCATGGGTTACTGAAGACCAGTTCTAACCCGTATCTTCATTGGGGACAAGCATGGGTTACTGAAGACCAGTTCTAACCCGCATCTTCATTGGGGACAAGCATGGGTTACTGAAGACCAGTTTTAACCCGCATCTTCATTGGGGACAAGCATGGGTTACTGAAGACCAGTTCTAACCAGCATCTTCATTGGGGACAAGCATGGGTTACTGAAGACCAGTTCTAACCCGCATCTTCATTGGGGACAAGCATGGGTTACTGAAGACCAGTTCTAACCCGTATCTTCATTGGGGACAAGCATGGGTTACTGAAGACCAGTTCTAACCCGCATCTTCATTGGGGACAAACATGGGTTACTGAAGACCAGTTCTAACCCGCATCTTCATTGGGGACAAGCATAGGTTACTGAAGACAAGTTCTAACCAGCATCTTCACTGGGGACAAGCATGGGTTACTGAAGACCAGTTCTAACCCGTATCTTCATTGGGGACAAGCATGGGTTACTGAAGACCAGTTCTAACCCGCATCTTCATTGGGGACAAGCATGGGTTACTGAAGACCAGTTCTAACCCGTATCTTCATTGGGGACACGCATGGGTTACTGAAGACCAGTTCTAACCAGCATCTTCATTGGGGACAAGCATGGGTTACTGAAGACCAGTTCTAACCCGTATCTTCATTGGGGACAAGCATGGGTTACTGAAGACCAGATCTAACCCGCATCTTCATTGGGGACAAGCATGGGTTACTGAAGACCAGTTCTAACCAGCATCTTCATTGGGGACAAGCATGGGTTACTGAAGACCAGTTCTAACCACCATCTTCATTGGGGACAAACATGGGTTACTGAAGACCAGTTCTAACCCGTATCTTCATTGGGGACAAGCATGGGTTACTGAAGACCAGTTCTAACCCGTATCTTCATTGGGGACAAGCATGGGTTACTGAAGACCAGTTCTAACCCGTATCTTCATTGGGGACACGCATTGGTTACCGAAGACCAGTTCTAACCAGCATCTTCATTGGGGACAAGCATGGGTTACTGAAGACCAGTTCTAACCAGCATCTTCATTGGGGACAAGCATGGGTTACTGAAGACCAGTTCTAACCCGCATCTTCATTGGGGACAAGCATGGGTTACTGAAGACCAGTTCTAACCAGCATCTTCATTGGGGACAAGCATGGGTTACTGAAGACCAGTTCTAACCAGCATCTTCATTTGGGACAAGCATGGGTTACTGAAGACCAGTTTTAACCAGCATCTTCATTGGGGTCAAGCATTGGTTACCGAAGACCAGTTCTAACCCGCATCTTCATTGGGGACAAGCATGGGTTACTGAAGACCAGTTCTAACCCGCATCTTCATTGGGGACAAGCATGGGTTACTGAAGACCAGTTTTAACCAGCATCTTCATTGGGGACAAGCATGGGTTACTGAAGACCAGTTCTAACCCGCATCTTCATTGGGGACAAACATGGGCTACTGAAGACCAGTTCTAACCCGCATCTTCATTGGGGACAAGCATGGGTTACTGAAGACCAGTTCTAACCAGCATCTTAAAGGGTACACTGTTTGAAGAGGCTATCGAAATACAGACCAAGTGTATCTGTAAGTGTATCGGCATGAACATACAAAAGATAATCCGAACATTATGAAAACCTGATTTTATTCTCTATAGTATATACTTGGAGCATTGAACAGTGATACGGAGTTCTACTGTTGGCTGAATATACGCCAATCCCTCGGTTCTACAATCTAAATACAATTGCTATGAAATGGAAGAATGAGTATATGTTTCCAAATGAAGAAGAAGTCGATAAACACCTGAACATGTACATGTAATTATGGTTTACTCTCAGCGAGGCAGGATATAATATCGTAAACACCATCAACTATTTCAAATCGTATAAAGGGTTGTGTTCGAAGGGACGTCGAATTGCAGAAAACATCAAAGGTAATACGATGAAACACGTTAAATACGATGACATATACAGGGTCGTATTTGTTACATCGTTGTAAGCACTCGATTGAGGAGTCCTCGAATTGCCGAAACGATAATTTCAGAATGTCAGATCAAAATGGCAAACTTGATATTCCTGAAACAGCTTTTTTGTAAATAATTCTTCGTCAGCATTTACAGACCAGATGTCGAATTGCGAACGAAAAAATCACATTTAGTACAAAGTGTCAAAAGAGCAAATGAAACAGGAAGATGACAGTTTCATCTGAAAGCTTTATAAAGAGCATTGGTTTCAGTGATATCGGCATTTGTTATTCACTATCCTGTGAGGTTGTCATGGTGATATATACATGGCAGTGCGCGGTGAAAAGAACATATACACCGTATATACAAAGGGTTATTATGCATATTGCTCTATCGTTGTCATGTGATAAGAAAATGTAAAACATGACGTCATTGTTATGTCATTATGACGTCACCAAACAATTTGGCATAAAACACAGTATCAGTATTGCTTGGAGATACAATCGATGTTCTGTGATGACGCTAAGATTCTTCACACGACAGCAACACGTGCAGTGACATCCTAGTTACCATGGTTACAAGTGAAAAAACATTTATCATATGTGAAATATACACAGTTAATCCGTCTCTGAAAATTGAAACTCAGTACATGTAGGGCTGCATATGTATCTCTCTAGACATTCACTAATACGCTAGGCCAAGCTCCGCTGCACCGCTGAGCCTTGAGGTAAGAGCGACACCTTTTCGGCAGCGCTGCTGGAATCTCATGTTTGTTCCGAATTAACCTGAGAGTGATGTCCCCTTTTCATTCCACATTCTTAAAACACAACATCCCAAAGGCGTGAAGCAGCGAACATATTTTGACTGCGGTTCCCCTTCAGTCAACGCTCGTTTGCAAAGGTGAAAAAGGTCAATAGTTCAAGGGTCAAGTGAAATAAACATCGGACCATGACCGCTTCCCTCTCGGATTACTATAAAATGTCAACGACGTTGCCATGGCAATCTTATTAAGCTGGGTTAGCATCAGTTTTATGCGTCCTACCTATACGTATTTGGTCATTCCGACGTCCTGTATCCTAGCAACTCACAATGTTGCATACAGATACCATATTCCTGGAAAGGTGTTACACCATTGAAGGAATAATTCGGTTCATTAACGACAACGCGGGAGTTGCTCCAGGGGCGTGTTGATAACAGTGTATCCTAGCAACCAAGTGCGCGTAACTCCCAACAGTGATTGTAATTATACTCTTCTCCTAGCAACGGAGTGCTGGTCATGCGCAGAACTGCTTTAGATGTCCTCCGATGATGAAGGCCCCAGTGATGAAAAGAACGGTGTAGTTGGGGAAGACGGAGTGGCTTGTGTTGACGCATCTTGTCGTTGCTGACGGTGGGGATGCTAATGAGAAGAAAAGAAAAAAAAACGTAATTCAGATGGAATTTGGGTCATTGCATAAAGAGGAAGTCCGGTGCTTTCTTTAAAATAGAACCAGGTTATAACCACGGTGTCTAATTTGGACGAACGCAAACAAAATTATTCTATAGAAATATATTCTTACAGGAACAATATGTATTACTAAGTAAATGTGACCGGCTAATACATGGAAATATCGCGGCTTATATTGTGTCCTAGCAAACATATTACAATTCAGATATGAATAACGGCACATATAATGAGCTGGCTAGCTTGTATAAATAAAATTGTTTCAAGTGAAGAACTCCTAGATTAGCGTTCTGTTGTTCCCGTAATTCATACGCCACTGTTGACGTAATGTTTAACTGCGTCACAGTGTATTATTGTCAACATAATGTGTTAAGACGTCACAATGTCATTAGAAATGGTGTCCTGTTATCTTGTGAACCACCACAATGCTAAGTATCCTTAGTGCGTCTACATAGTACCTGCTTAACATTCCGTGTGAGTTCATGGAAACACTTTTGTCAAGTTTAACAAAACCATACATATGAGAACTGGACCCGTGCAGTCGTTATGGTTAAAGTGGTACATGTTGTTGCTGTAGGTGACGTAGCTGTAAGGGATGCAGCCGTGATTTATCTTCAGTAACCCATGCTTGTCATAAGAGGCGACTAACGGGATCGGGTGCCCAGGCTCGCTGTTCTTGCCGACACATGTCATCGTATCTCAATTGCGTAGACCGATGCTCATGCTGTTGATCCCTGGATTATCTGGTCCAGACTCGATTATTTACAGAATGCCGCCTTATAGCTGGAATATTGCTGAAACTGAACTCACCCACACTCACTCATGTGAGAACTGAAGGTAGCATTGTCATCGGTATAGCTGCTGACGATCTGTGAACCTTCAGGTTACTATATTGTTCTAAAAGACATCGGCGTCATAACTTGCTGAAGTGCACGCTGCATCATAGTTGTAAGGGTTGAGTGAGTGAGTATGATTTTACGCCACTTTTAGCAATATTCCAGCAACATCATGGCGGGGGAACCAGTCATGGGCTTCATACATTTTACCCATGTAGGCTACCCACCGCCATTTAGTTATAAGAAAAACACGACCACAGTCGAAAATACTAGTACTTCGTTCTAAGCATGTAATTGCAATTTGTGAAGAATCACGCATGTTCATTTCTATAAAAAACATATTAGAGCCACCGTTCGTATTTAGATCGCTTGTTAAAATGATCACGACAAGGTCCTTATCGATCCCAATTAACGTGTTTGGTATACACGATTATTCATTGCCATTAATAAATAAACTCTCAGCGGTTTTAACTTAATTCCTTTTGAGACGTAACATATGACATTAGGGATTACACTTTCTCAGTAAAGTACAGATTCTAATCCGGAATTTATGTACCCCTACCAGTTGTCCGACTTCCATGTTTTGGAAGTCGCGGTGGCTAAATGGGTTAGGCGGCTGACTTTGCGTGCCTGATTCTGAGGGCGTGGGTTCGAATCCCGGATGGGACTCAACCCAACAAAGTACTAGCTATAGAATCTGTACTTTACTAAGAAAGTGTAATCCCAAATATAACATGTGTTCCTTTTGACCACTTTCTAAATGGCATTGTGTATTCATCATTTTAAGTGAGTGATTGAGTAAGGATTTACGCCGCTTTCAGCAATATTCCAGCAATATCACAGCTGGGGACGACAGAAACGGGCTTAACTCATCATTTTAAGACACTTCGTCGTGTTGAGTGATTATCTTATGGATCCATTTATATATGTACTAATATACAACCCTCTTTATGTTATGTGGACTCACGTGTATCAGCTAGGAGCGGCACAATCTCACGCCAAAATGTACACTGTTTGTGACGTAATCCTCTGCCTGACGTCACGGATTTGGAGACATTCAGGTACACAAATTGCTGGGACTGAATGTTAAACCGAGGCCAGTCGTTGGAGTTTGGATCATTCGGGTTGCTGTCAACATAGGAACAAATAGCGGTGAGAGCTTTATATACACATACTGGGTCCCGAACCAAGAAGCGTTACGAGCTGTCGTAACCATACCGTTTATCATAGGGTAACACATGACATAGGGATACGAACGCTTTGTGGATCGGACCCCTGGAAAAGTGAGTGCGAATATGGTTTTACGCCGCTTTTAGCAATATTCCAGCAATATCACGGCGGTGGACACCAGGAATGGGCTTCCTGCATTGTACCCATGTGGGGAATCGAACCCATGTGTACGGCGTGACAAGCGAACATTTTAGTCATGTTGGCTATATATACACGTGTAACAGTATGGACACGTGTAAAACAATTTCACACGTGTAAATACAGTATACACAGGCACATACCACACACTTGAGCAAATAAGATGAGTGAGTGAGTTTAGTTTTACGCCGCACTATGCAATATTCCAGCTATATGGCGGCGGTCTGTAAATAATCGAGTCTGGACTAGACAATCAAGTGATCAACAGCATGAGCATCGATCTGCGCAAATTGGAACCGATGTTATGTACCAACCAAGTCAGCGAGCCTGACCATCCGATCCCGTTAGTCGCCTCTTACGACAAGCATGGGTTACTGAAGGTTAATATGCTAACCAAAATAGCAAATAAGATGAAAATAATATACAATGGTATAAATATGTGCAAATTATAGCTACACTTGTAATTAAACATTGCATTAGTAAATAATACAAACATGTTCCAGAACCTCTGCACTAAACTCGCTGACTTGGTTGATGCACGTGAGTTGCGTAGGTCCATGTTCATTTGATCATTCGGGGCGGTGGGGTAGCCTAGTGGTTAAAGCGTTGGCTCGTCACACCGAAGACCCGGGTTCGATTCCCCACATGGGCACAATGTGTTAAGCCCATTTCTGGTGTCCCCCGCCGTGATATTGCTGGAATATTGCTAAAAGCGGCGTAAAACTAAACTCAGTCAGTCAGTCATTCTATCATTCACTGGGATATATGATCAAGTTTGAGCATCGCGTAAACAAGGAACACGACTCAGCTCAAACCTAACCCGTCCACTCATCCGTCCGCCCATCAACTCAAATTCATCCCTACCTATATTTAGCGAAGTTTGTCCACATCTTCATCACACGTCGACTCAAGTCCACTTCCTCGCTACTGTATCTACTTCCGTTCTCCAGCGGAAGTCCAAAGACAACCTCGATTTCATACCCATGCATGACGCCAGCCCACTTTGGCCATGGGTTGGTAGACACGCGATGTTCGAAGGAGTAAAGGAAGATATCCTTGTTTATTCTCGACATATCCCTGGCGAAGTCGATGGTGGGGCACTTGAAGGCCCTGTCACCGCTGATGTCGTCAGCAATCACCCGATAGGTGTCTCTGTCTACAGGCAGCTCAGCCTCTTCATACTCAACAGCAACAGCCTTCTTTGTCTTATCGTTGCTTGGGGCAACAACAGTCCGCACTACATCCAAGAACTCGTCCCTGTCAAGAGGATTAGGATTGTTAAGCTTGAATTTCCCTGCGATGCCATACAACAAGAAGTAGTTCCCTTCGTCCTTGTTCACACCTAATAAAATACTGGTGTTCTTCACTTCACCCCGCTCTATCAGCTTCTCTGGAATGTCAGGAAGAAAATATGTGTCCACTACCGGAGCGAAAGGGGCGTCGAAATAAAAGTCTACAATATTCCACGCTTGTACTGATAACTGTTGTGGGTCTGCGCTTCTCAAGCATTCCATCATTTCCGTCTCATCCATTGTTGTACAGTTAAACCTTTGGGCTAGTGCTCTAGTCCTATCATTCGCCATCTGTCGGGTATGCATCCCCCAATAACACAACGCGCTTGCACTTTGCATCATTGCGTTGTTAAACAAGTCACGTGACAGGGGTGACAACAAATGCATGGATACGCTCACTGCGCCGGCACTCTCTCCAAATATGGTAATCCTATTGGCATCCCCGCCAAAATGTTCAGCGTTATTTTTTACCCATTTCATTGCCATTAGTTGATCTAAAAGACCAGCGTTGCCAGGAGCGTCCTCCCCGGAAGTAAAGGGATCATCACCGTAACTAAGGAAACCAAGGGTGCCTATCCGGTAGTTGATGGACACAACGATGACGTCATTTGCAGCGGCCATATATTTGCCGTCGTACACCCGTAGCGTCGACGTTCCCAAAGCAAACGTTCCCCCATATATCCACAGCAGGATTGCTTTGTTCGGGGTCCCACCCCTCGGGACCCACACGTTCAGGTATAAGCAGTCTTCGCTCATGTTTGTGTTGGGGTTCCACATGTCCACTCCTGTAAACAGAAATTTCAGGATTTAAGAACTCAGTTTCTGGTCATGGAGCTTATACGTAATCGGTTTTACTCAGCGTGCGTGCCGTTTTTATAAAGTGTATGGTAATAAGTAGCAGTGAGCAATAATACTGCGTACACGTCTTATGTTACGTCTATACACTGCGTTACGACTGGGTGGGAAATGAGAGGCACACATGCATTAAACGATCGCCTGTGTCCCTTTTTGTGTGAACGATCTTGAAGATGAATAATCTTGCTAATTTGTCCAAAATATTTAAGTATAAGAAATCGTTATCTACCAAAGCATGTCATTGCCAGACCAAGTATGATAAAGTTTGTGAACAAGTTACAAACTAATAATGTACAACTATTGATTAGTATTGCTAAATGTGTTTATCATATCTTTAAAATGGAAAGTACAATGAATATGCTGTAATTATATACTCTTGGGTTACCATCACTCATTTCTCTGTTAAATTATTGTATATCAAACTATATATGTACATCCTCAAATACCTACGACTGTGCAATCATACAAAAGTTTTGTAACCGTTGTTTTTGGCCCATGGCCTAAAATAAACCTTCTGTCTGTACTGTCTGTCTGTGTTACGAAAAGTGGGAGTAAAGATACGCACTACGCACTCTTCCTGTGAGTAGTTGGGAAGTGATACGTACAGGTACATTTTACACATGATACGGGAAAGATACGTACTGTGCGATAAATGGCAAAGGAAAGATACGTACGCATGCTGTGTTACGTGGGTTTGGGAAAAAGATGTGTACTCATTACAAATTATAGATGGGAGAGGAAATGTACGTGTGCGCCCTACGTTTCGAAGGGGAGGTGCGTAGATGCCCTGTATCGGAAAGGGTAAGATGGAATTGTGTACACAGTCTGTTAGAAGCATAGGGAAAGATCAGTTCACAGTTTTTGACGACAGGTTAAGACGAGATACGTACACAATCTGCGTTAAGATGGGTTGGGGCGAGATACGTAAACAACCTGTGTTACGAAGTGTAGTGTATACGAACGTTGAGTACGTACGAAGGGCATGAGGAATATACATACCTTCAAACTTGTCGAACATCTCGTCGATAATCTGATGACATGAGTTGGGCATGTCTAACGCGTCACGTGTTGAGTTCCACGGCTCGTGAGGCACGGGGCGACGGAATCGGAGGTCACCAACAGGTGGTGCTGCATATGGGATGCCATAGTAGATGTCCACAGTGGAGTTCAAAACCGTTGTCCTGTTGCCACGGACTGGCCCAAGAGAGGTGGTCACCACAGGGTTCTCTCCCTTTGAACACGTGATCAGCAGCACACACCACGTGAGGCATCCTGGCAACCCTCTTAGTTCTGGCATTGTACGCTACAACTGCAAGAAAGGAATTGCGTGATTAGAAATGACGTGTTTCGTTCGAACGACTGATGAGGGTGTGAGTTTAGTTTTACGCCGCTTTTAGCAATAGTGCAGCAATATCACGGCGGGGGACACTAGAACTGGACTTCACATATTGTACCCATGTTGGGAACCGAACCCGGATCCTAGGCGATACGAGCGAACGCTTTACCCACTAGGCTACCCCACCGCCCAGAACGACTGCAGCCTTATTAGGCCAGTGGTATGTGGCGTCTCTTCCTGTCTGGGGCCAACTCCCGAGCGCCTAGCCTTAAAATAAACTATTGCAATTATTATTATTATTATTATTAACATTAATTTTTTTTCATATTTACACACCGATGTCTAGCTCTAAATAATCAAATGTACGCCAGATAATCCAGTGATTGACATGATAAGCATCGATCTACGTAACTGGGACACAATGACATGCAGTTGGGTATTCTCTCGATGGAAGAGGCACCATTTCGTGCCGAAGGACGCGTTTAATTCCCCATATGGTTGAAATGAGTTCCCCTGGTGTCCTTCGACGCGATCCTGCTTGTTTGCAGCTTAAAGAACATGTACGTCGCGTTATACGTGCAAAAACCTTGAAGGGGACGTTAATCCTATCTCACATAGCCTCATTTGCGTTAAGCGTTTAAACGTTAACGCCGTCATTAACCTTGATAACAAAGATACTTCGGATGTCGTATCTAAGCAATAGACTCTGAAATTGTGCAAACTTCATGCAGCCAAAAGACGCGTGCTACTCTTTGAGCACTCGCGGTGGGTAGCTGGAAATGTATGGAAGCCAAGTCGGGCCATGTGTCAGAGGGTACACGTGGGCGGCAGATGCAGTTGCCAGGAAAGAGTGACGTGTTTGTTTCTGCTCTTGCACCAGTGTTAACACATACTAATCCATGATTTGTAAAGGCACATAACAGTAAATGTTCACCAATGACAATGTTACCGCCTACAATACGTTTCAGTTACCGCTCTGTCTGAGCAGGAACAAACTCTATGGTGTATCACGCTGTGTAGTACATGTAAGTGAGTACTAAGCTGGTTCCTGGCCCCCTTTGCGCGCGCCATCTTGCGATATGCGAGACGGAGCCCAGCTTACTCCCGGTACCAGATTTCCAGTGACAAGCGTATATTCAAGAACCAGTTCTGGTTCCAAATTGTGCGACCGCTAAATATGACATTATGCGACCGGACCAACTGTACAACCACGCTTGGCTTTCGCAGCTGTTGACAGTCGTAATAGTTTGCTAATTTGGGGATGGTTAGATCGGAGATTTGATATTCCTGCATGAATTTTCTGTTCCTCACTGTCAACTGACAACTATGAGACCATTCGAAAATGTATAAAACGTTGTTTGTCCCCGGAAGTACTAAGGTCTACTCACGGGACCTATTATTTTCCTCTAGTTCCTTGCCCCTTGCGTATCGCTTTACATGTATGATCACATGATGGCTTTGCGGGGGTATTCTAATTGTGTAAAACCTTTAACAGTTTATTTTTCTTAAAATGAAATGGCTTAAATTGAAAAAAGCTGAACAAGCTCTGATGGCGACAGGCGAAGAACCCAGTCATTTCCCTGCTTGGCATTTCAAATTTCTTCTGAAGAATGATTACTATGTGTTGGAATTTCATCCTGTGTACAGACCGAAAACCATCGGGGACCGAGGCTGTCTCCCAGTAGATGTAGCACCCCGTGGAGAGAGATTGTCTCCCAGTAGATGTAGCGCCCCGTGGACCGAGTCTGTCTCCCTGTAGATGTAGCACCCCGTGGACAGAGTCTGTCTCCCTGTAGATGTAGCATCCCGTGGACAGAGTCTGTCTCCCTGTAGATGTAGCATCCCGTGGGTAAGTCTGTCTCCCTCTAGATGTAGCGCCCCGTGGACCGAGTCTGTCTCCCAGTAGATGTAGCACCCCGTGGACAGAGTCTGTCTCCCAGTAGATGAAGCATCCCGTGGACAGAGTCTGTCTCCCTGTAGATGTAGCACCCCGTGGACCGAGGCTGTCTCCCAGTAGATGTAGCACCCCGTGGACAGAGTCTGTCTCCCAGTAGATGCAGCACCCCAGTGGACTGTAGATGTAGCACCCGTGGACAGAGTCTGTCTCCCTGTAGATGTAGCACCCCGTGGACAGAGTCTGTCTCCCTGTAGATGTAGCACCCCGTGGAGAGAGATTGTCTCCCTGTAGATGCAGCACACAGTGGACAGAGTCTGTCCCCCAGTTGATGTAGCACCCAGTGGACAGAGTCTGTCTCCCAGTAGATGTAGCACCCAGTGGACAGAGTCTGTCTCCCAGTAGATGTAGCACCCAGTGGACAGAGTCTGTCTCCCAGTAGATGTAGCACCCAGTGGACAGAGTCTGTCTCATAGTAGATGTAGCACCCCGTGGACTGTCTCCCAGTAGATGTAGCATCCCGTGGACAGAGTCTGTCTCCCTGTAGATGTAGCATCCCGTGGACAGAGTCTGTCTCCCAGTAGATGTAGCATCCCGTGGACAGTGTTTGTCTCCCTGTAGATGAAGCACCCCGTGGACCGATTCTGTCTCCCTGTAGATGTAGCACCCCGTGGACAGAGTCTGTCTCATAGTAGACGTAGCACCCCGTGGACTGTCTCCTTGTAGATGTAGCATCCCGTGGACAGTGTTTGTCTCCCTGTAGATGAAGCACCCCGTGGACCGATTCTGTCTCCCTGTAGATGTAGCATCCCGTGGACAGAGTCTGTCTCCCAGTAGATGTAGCACCCAGTGGACAGAGTCTGTCTCATAGTAGATGTAGCACCCCGTGGACTGTCTCCCTGTAGATGTAGCATCCCGTGGACAGAGTCTGTCTCCCTGTAGATGTAGCATCCCGTGGACAGAGTCTGTCTCCCAGTAGATGTAGCATCCCGTGGACAGTGTTTGTCTCCCAGTAGATGTAGCACCCCGTGGACAGAGTCTGTCTCCCTGTAGATGTAGCATCCCGTGGACAGAGTCTGTCTCATAGTAGACGTAGCACCCCGTGGACTGTCTCCTTGTAGATGTAGCATCCCGTGGACAGAGTCTGTCTCCCTGTAGATGTAGCATCCCGTGGACAGTGTTTGTCTCCCTGTAGGTGTAGCACCCCGTGGTCCGTGGTTGTCTCCCAGTAGACGTAGCACCCAGTGGTCAATGGTTGTCTTCTAGTATGTCTAGCACCCCGTGGTCCGTGGTTGTCTCCCAGTAGATGTAGCACCCCGTGGTCCATGGTTGTCTCCCAGTAGGTGTAGCACCCCGTGGTCAATGGTTGTCTTCTAGTATGTGTAGAACCCCGTGGTCCATGGTTGTCTCCCAGTAGGTGTAGCACCCCGTGGTCCATGGTTGTCTCCCAGTAGATGTAGCACCCAGTGGTCAATGGTTGTCTTCTAGTATGTGTAGCACCCCGTGGTCCATGGTTGTCTCCCAGTAGATTTAGCACCCCGTGGTCCATGGTTGTCTCCCAGTAGGTGTAGCACCCCGTGGTCCATGGTTGTCTCCCAGTAGATGTAGCACCCAGTGGTCAATGGTTGTCTTCTAGTATGTGTAGCACCCTGTGGTCCATGGTTGTCTCCCAGTAGATGTAGCACCCCGTGGTCCATGGTTGTCTCCCAGTAGGTGTAGCACCCCGTGGTCAATGGTTGTCTTCTAGTATGTGTAGCACCCCGTGGTCCATGGTTGTCTTCCAGTAGGTGTAGCACCCCGTGGTCCATGGTTGTCTCCCAGTAGGTGTAGCACCCCGTGGTCCATGGTTGTCTCCCAGTAGGTGTAGCACCCCGTGGTCCGTGGTTGTCTCCCAGTAGGTGTAGCACCCCGTGGTCCATGGTTGTCTCCCAGTAGGTGTAGCACTCCGTGGTCCATGGTTGTCTCCCAGTAGGTGTAGCACCCCGTCGTCCGTGGTTGTCTTCTAGTAGATGTAGCACCCCGTGGACAGAGTCTGTAGATGTAGCACCCCGTGGTCCATGGTTGTTTCCCAGTAGATGTAGCACCCAGTGGTCCATGGTTGTCTCCCAGTAGGTGTAGCACCCCGTGGTCCATGGTTGTCTCCCAGTAGGTGTAGCACCCCGTGGTCCGTGGTTGTCACCCAGTAGGTGTAGCACCCCGTGGTCCGTGGTTGTCTCCCAGTATGTGTAGCACCCCGTGGTCCATGGTTGTCTCCCAGAAGGTGTAGCACCCCGTGGTCCGTGGTTGTATTCTAGTAGATGTAGCACCCCGTGGTCCATGGTTGTCTCCCAGTAGGTGTAGCACCCCGTGGTCCGTGGTTGTCTTCTAATAGATGTAGCACCCGTGGACATAGTCTGTAGATGTAGCATCCCGTGGTCCGTTGTTGTCTCCAAGTAGGTGTAGCACCCCGTGGTCCGTGGTTGTCTCCCAGTAGGTGTAGCACCCCGTGGTCCGTGGTTGTATTCTAGTAGATGTAGCGCCCCGTGTTCCGTGGTTTTCTCCCATTAGGTGTAGCACCCCGTGGTCCGTGGTTGTCTTCTAGTAGATGTAGCACCCCGTGGTCCGTGGTTGTTTTCTAGTAGGAGTAGCACCCCGTGGTCCATGGTTGTCTTCTAGTAGATGTAGCACCCCGTGGACAGAGTCTGTAGATGTAGCACCCCGTGGTCCGTTGTTGTCTCCCAGTAGGTGTAGCACCCCGTGGTCCGTGGTTGTCTTCTAGTAGATGTAGCACCCCGTGGACCGAGTCTGTAGATGTAGCACCCCGTGGTCCGTGGTTGTCTCCCAGTAGGTGTAGCACCCCGTGGTCCATGGTTGTCTTCTACTAGATGTAGCACCCCGTGGACCGAGTCTGTAGATGTAGCACCCCGTGGTCCGTGGTTGTCTCCCAGTAGGTGTAGCACCCCATGGTCCGTGGTTGTCTTCTAGTAGATGTAGCACCCCGTGGACCGAGTCTGTAGATGTAGCACCCCGTGGTCCGTGGTTGTCTCCCAGTAGATGTAGCACCCAGTGGTCAATGGTTGTCTTCTAGTATGTGTAGCAC